TTTCATGAGCTAACATTTAGTGATTGACTTGACCTTAACTTTTGTTTTTTCGATTATAAGAGATATTGACATAAAGATCTCTACCCTACCCTTGCGGTTACCCCTCCCTTCCCATTATTGGGATTGAGCTCAACTTTAAATAAATATTTTTTTTCTAATTTTCTTTTTAGGAGAGGTAATTTGATTTTGGTAACTTTGAACAACAAAGTTTAAATTGGTAAATTTTTGTGCGTGCGCTAAAGTTAAGAAGAAGCGAGAGGAAAATTCATACATGCAGTACCATGGAGACTTGAACTAATGACTGCTTGGGAGCACACCAAAGACATAGGCCAATTCAATTAACACAACGGTTGCAAATCGAGAATATCACTAGATCAATAATGAGTTAAACTTTGGAAAATTTTCCTTAAGACTAGCAATAATCAATTTTGGAAAACATTATTGGATACTAGCTAGCAAAAGACGAATTATGTCCAAGCTGAAATATCTCTCATAACAAGTACAAAAATTAAACACAAGCTGAAGTTGCATTCATGTCTAACAACTCACTCAAGTTTTTTGTTTTTTTGTTTTTGGATTGAAACTCATTCAAATTCAAAGTTCAAAACTTTTACTCGGTGAATCTTAGTGCAGTAAAAGTAAATATTTTACTTAAGAATTTATGAACCAAGTTTTTTCCAAAAGTCAAGGAGATAAAAAGGAGTGGTTGAAGACAAACGCACAAACGACCTTAAAGTTAAAGCTTTCATATTTTTAACGGTTTGGTGACCAATAGCATAACATTTTTTATAACAGTACATAAATAAATAAATAAATAAATAAATAAATTTATTATTTTTTGGAAATGAAAGAAAAAGCGAGTCAAGCACTCTGAGGAGCTCTAGCAGTCCCGAGTCGTCGCTAAGTTTGACAAAAATGGCCGGCCTTCTTTGACCCGTCGAGCCTCTCATTTCCTCACTTTTTCCCAAAACCCACCCAAGGCTGTCCTGCAAAAGCATCTCCGTTCACACACACCCATGTCCAGTTTTTCCGAAAAATATATATAAATTCTCGCTTTGTAGTTATTGGATGAATATATCTGTATGTAAATCGTATCTGCCGTTGCTTTTTTGTTGACCCATGAAGTCTTTGTCTTTGCGGAAAGAGGGGAAGCTGTGCTGTTGTTGATTCAAGAAGCCTTCTTTGCGCTCTGTGAATTTTCTGTGTATGCGCTAGTGAACTATCTCAGGTGGGTTCTTTAAATTTTTCTCAAAGCCTTCAACTTTTAGCTGGATTTTTGTGAATATATATGCTTATGTTTGGGCAGGCTTGGGTCAACTCAATTGGATCAAGTAAGGTTTTTTTAACTAGCTATGTCTATGATTTAGTCTGTAGTTTGTGAATTTTCAGGTTTATCAATCAAATTGTTGCTTGTTGAACCTGTTTTTGCATCTTTTGATAGAGTGATGATGAATTGGGTTTTGTTGTATGTGTTGTTTTTTTTTAAAATTTATTTCCAAATTCGGTGTTGTTGAAAGCTAAGCTAGATTTTTGTGGGTTTCAATATTTGTAGTCTGATTGGGTTCATTTTCTGTTGCTTTTGAGTTTGTTTCAGGGTTTGGTGTTGACTAATGCTGGGGTTTTGCGGGTTCAGTATCTTGATCTCTGATATCACTAAGTAGCTATTTAGGCGATTCTGATGGCTTTCTCAATGCATATGTTGTTGAATGGACGAGATCCCGGCATTTTTATTGGTGGTGTCCTCTGGTTATTGCTTAGTTGTAGTTTCAGCTTTGGTGTTGAGAGTGATATCAACTGCTTAAAAAGTATAAAGGCATCACTTCAGGACACTTTAGGTTACTTAAACTCTTCCTGGGATTTCAACAACAACACTGAAGGTTTCATCTGTAACTTTCTGGGAATCGAGTGTTGGCACCCTCATGAGAGCAAAGTTTTAAACATCAAGCTTTCGGATTTGGGACTGAAGGGCTTGTTTCCTCAAGGCGTAGCAAATTGCACAAGCCTAACAGGATTAGATCTTTCAAGCAACCAGCTCAATGGACCTCTTCCTACTAATATCGATCATATCATTACGTTCATTACGTCCCTTGATCTCTCATCTAACAGCTTCACAGGGCAAATCCCAATGAAGCTTTCCAATTGCAGCTATCTGAATGTGCTTAAGCTTGAAAACAACAAGTTCTCGGGTAACATTCCTCTAGAACTTGGCCAGCTTGGTAGGATTAAAACATTTAGTGTGGCCAACAATCAGCTGTCTGGCCAAGTCCCAATCTTTAATAAGGATGCATCAATTACAGTGGACTCTTACGCAAACAATCCTGGACTTTGTGGGAAGCCTCTGGAGGTGTGCCGGTCAGCTGCAAAGAAGTCTAACAGTGTAGTTATTGTGGGAGCTGGTGTTGGTGGTGCAACTTTTGCAGCATTAATTGTTGTTATTGGCTTGTTCTTCTTTATGCGTAGAGTGTCTGCAAGGAAGAAGGAAGAGGACCCGGAAGGGAACAAATGGGCAAAGAGTTTCAAGAAAACTAAAGGCATCAAGGCAAGCTAATACAGAACATTTCTTTTAGAAACAAATTAACGATTTACATACAATGATAATCTGATTAGTTCTCTCTCTCTTTCTTTCTTTCTATACTTTGTTCATTTTGATTATGCACAAAGTTATGTTTCTATTTCTAGTAGTTTCAGCTGTATTGTATTGTAATGAAGCTAGTTTATTCCAGGTTTCCATGTTTGAGAAGTCAATTTCTAAAATGAAACTGGGTGATCTCATGAAGGCCAGCAACAATTTCCACAAAGACAATATCATTGGGTCAGGAAGAACTGGAACTATGTACAAGGCAGTGCTCGACGATGGCACCCCACTTATGGTCAAGAGGTTGCAGGAATCTCAACACTCTGAGAAAGAGTTTCTGTCTGAGATGGCTACTTTGGGGAATATAGAACACCGTAACTTGGTTCCTCTTTTAGGATTTTGTGTGGCGAAGAAGGAAAGGCTTTTAGTCTATAAGTACATGCCTAATGGTACCCTCCACGATCAGCTTCATCCTATGGATGCTGATGGTGTGAAGATTATGGAGTGGCCAACTAGGCTTAAAATTGGGATAGGGGCAGCCAGAGGATTAGCGTGGCTCCACCATAACTGCAATCCTCGAATTATCCACCGAAACATAAGCTCCAAATGCATCTTACTGGATGCAGATTTCGAGCCGAAAATATCTGAATTTGGCCTTGCTAGGCTCATGAATCCAATTGATACGCACTTGAGTACTTTTGTGAATGGGGAGTTTGGGGATCTGGGTTATGTTGCTCCTGAGTATGCACGAACTCTACTTGCCACTCCAAAGGGGGATGTTTACAGCTTTGGAACTGTTCTTCTTGAGTTGGTGACTGGTGAGAGAGCTACCCATATTGCTAAAGCTCCTGAAGACTTCAAAGGAAATTTGGTGGAATGGATTATGCAGCTGTCAAGCCAATCTCAACTCCAGGATGCACTCGACAAATCTTTGGTTGGAAAGGGTGTGAATGAGGAGCTTTTCCAGTTTCTTAAAGTTGCATGTAATTGTGTGGTGCTTACTCCCAAGGAGAGGCCTACTATGTTTGAAGTATACCAGCTTCTAAGGGCCATTGGGGAGAAATATAACTTCACAGTCGACGATGAGATAATGATGCCTACAGACATCGGTGATGGTGACGGCAGAGGGGAACTTATTGTTGCTCGAGAGATGAAGGAGATGAACTGAAAAAGGTAAGAAGAGTATATTAATATATGGCCAGTACCCTTTTGTAATTATCTGTTTTTGTGTACTGTAATAAACATTATTATTACATATATGATTTATGCTTTAGCTACTGATTGGATCTGCTTTTTTACGACATACGGTTGTAAAATTGCCCTCTATAATCTTTGAATGTGTATTTTAAGTCACATATAGCCCAACTCGTTTAATGTTCTTCATAAGAGCAACTTTTTTTAGATTTACAAGGTACTCAGTTTGTAAAATGCCCTCAGTTTCTTTGTAGTTGATTTGGTATTGGTTTAACAGATGTATTATTTCCTATACAAAAACATTGAAGTACTTGGTAGCACTGCAACACCAAGATTTCAGTATCTGCAATTAAAACCCACAGAGAGAGCATGTAGGGCATGTGTGCTGTATGTTATGGCCCTTGATTTCTTATTTGACCATAGGCAAGACAATTGTATTATGATTACAAAACTTGCTCGAGGAACTGCAAATAAAATAAAGAATGCCAACAGCTCCAGGAAATGGATAAATTGCAATTTTTGTAGGTCATGCTTAAATTCTACTGCTTCAACGAATTCAATTCTTCTCTCTCTCTCTCTCTGTTTTTTTTTCCTGTCATATCTTTTGTCATCCTCGCTGCCTCTCATTATTTGCTTCTCTGCAATCGAGACACCATAGAATCTATCGTCTCTGTTCAAACTCTTGTTCTGCTAGGTCAACTCAGCTCCATTTTTCAGAGAAAACCCTTTGCTTTTTCAGCTATTTTTGAAACAAACCTAACTTGATTAGAAAAAGTAAACAAAAGTTGAAAAGTGAGCGAAAGCATTGCCCAAGTGTTGTTACAGTGTGCTGCTCATGGCCACTTCTGAAACGACTCAAAGATAAAAATAAAATAAAAAGGATAGAGGACTGTCAAGCACTCTGAAGAGCATAGCAAACAACCCACCCCCCAAGTCGTCCCTGAGCCCATAATGAGCTTCTCCTTCGCTCGCTTTCATCAAACCAAATCAGATTCGGTTTACCAAAGAAGAAAACGACAGGAAACTTCTGCATAATTGCAATTCATTTACGTGTTGACTCAAAGTCTTTCATCTCTGTCGAAAGACTAAAGAGGGTCGTTTTCTCATTGAACTTTTACCTTTTTTCCAGGTGCATTCTGATATTCATCATTGCTTAAATAGGTACCAACTTTTAAGGCTATTTTTGATGGCTTTCTTGATGCCTGTGTTGTTGAGCAAACGAATTATAGACATGTTTGTTAGCAGTGTCCTCTGGTTGTTGCTGCTTAGTTGCAGCTTCAGCTTTGGCGTTGAGAGCGATATCAACTGCTTGAAAAGTATAAAAGCATCATTTGAGGACACTTTAGGTTCCTTAAACTCTTCATGGGATTTCAGCAACAACACTGAAGGCTTCATCTGCAACTTTCGCGGGATTGAGTGTTGGCACCCTCACGAGAGCAAGGTTCTGAACATCAAGCTTTCGGAGTTGGGACTAAAAGGTCAGTTCCCTCGGGGCGTAGAAAATTGTACAAGCTTAACAGGTTTAGATCTTTCAGGCAACATGCTCAGTGGACCTCTTCCTCATGATATTGATAAAATTCTTACGTGGGTTACGTCTCTTGATCTCTCTTCCAACAGCTTCTCAGGGCTGATCCCGGCGACGCTTTCCAATTGCAGCTATATGAATGTGCTCAAGCTTGATAACAACCAGTTCTCGGGTAACATTCCGGCAGAAGTTTACCAGCTAACGAGGCTTAGAACTTTTAGCGTGGCCAACAATCTTCTGTCGGGCCAAGTGCCACCATTCGGTGAGAATATTGCTTCAATTAGAAGGGACAGTTATGCAAACAATTCTGGACTTTGTGGATACCCCCTCAAGCCTTGCCCATCAATATCTCAAAAGACGTCCTTGAATGTGGTTAGGGTTTTCAAGTCGAATGGTGTACTTATGGTGGCAGCAGCTGGTTTTGGTATTGGTTTCGTTTTCTCTTTTTCTTTTTTTATTTTAAGATGAGCTCCAACAGCCTCGTGTGTGCCTTATTTGGTCATGTACCCGAACATAATTAAATAAGACACCCGCAGCGTTGTCGTTGCAAATACTACATACAAAGTTGGATGAATTAGCATTTTTTTTAGTCTAAAACACACACCAAGTGGTACCTTACAAGTATAAAATCAACAACAAAACTGAAATCTATGTTTAGATAACAGAATCATTACCCATTTTAATTAAACTTCCGTTGCATAATTACCCTACAAAGGAATAATCAGAAATAGTGAACAAGAACTAATTATTTTTAAACTTAATCACATTAATACCTCCTGAAACTTCGATTAAACTGCACAGGTGTAATTAAGCCTCGTTTTTATTTCTCAGTGCTTAGCAAACTGCACATGCGTCACGCATCTTTCGAGCAACCATCTCCAGGGACCCGTACATCACAAATCTTGACTTCTCAAACAACACCTTCTCAGGACAAATCCCAGACCTTCCCAACTGTGCGTGGCTCAATCTGCTCAAGCTTGATGACAATGTGTTTTACCTGGGCTGCTTCCTAGGCTTAAGAAACTCAGTGTGGCCCACAATCTTCTGTTTGGGCCAGTCCCACAGTTCATTTATGGGAGCGCAGAGTTATGTGGAGAGTTTCTACAATGAGGAGTTAAAGTGAGGAGACCGATCCGACCGTCAAAACATTTAAAATATTTAAGTCCAATGATTTCTTTACATTTGTTGATGGTGAGATTTGACCTCCTCAAATAACCTCCTCACTTTAAGCCCTCATTATAGCCTTTCCGGAGTTATGTGATCAATTTCGGACTCTGTGGGGGGCCACTGGAGCCATGCAAGTCATCTTCAAGTCCGAGAATGATGTTGCTATTGTTAAATTTAGTGCTAAACGAGCATATTACTATTTTGCTATTTCACTCAATCGAAAAATTATCATATATTGCATACTGTAATTGGGTGGGATAACAATGCTTCTCCTTCAAATGACCCCATTAATGAGCTTCTCCTTCTCTCACTTTCATCAAACCAATCGAATTTGTTTACCGAAAGAGAAAAAAAAGACAGGAAATTTTTTTAAACGTATAATTCACTCTTGTGTAATTGCATGTCATTTACATGTTGAAACGTCAAGGCCTTTCATCTCTCTCTGTAGAAAGACTAAAGAGGGCCCTTTTTTCGTTGAACCTTTTATTTATGGGGTTCTTCGATCTAGGTCCAAAACAATTAGCTGGTATTGGATTTAGTCCACGCGTTTTTAGTTTTAGATGTAGGTCCTTTGACTTTATTTACTTTTTTTGTTGTATCGATTTTACCTTTTGAGGTAAATAAGAAAAACATATTGAAAATCTAAATTTAATGCATAATTTCCTTGTAATTGAATTTTGAATTCTTCCTTAATAATATTTACCTAATATATACCATTTAATCAATAAAAGTAAGACCCTCATATTATACCTATGCGATGGACAATAGGACAATATATCTATACCATGGGATAATATATCTACATCATAGGCTGAACAAACCACACAACTTTTTACCTATAAGTAAGGTGGAAAAATAAACAAGCAGAATATTAAATTACCTATAACTTAGGTGCATAAAAACATAAGTCGGAAAATATATGCTACCTATATCTCTGGTACATAAAAAAGATAAGTGGTAAAGTGTATGTTACCTATAACTTAGATTCATAAACAAAAAGTGTCACGACCCGACTCCCCTAGCATGATATTGTCTGCTTTGGGCCCCCCTCTCTGCCCTCACGGTTTTGTTTCTGGGAGCTCACGAGCAACTTCCCAGTGGGTCACCCATCCTGGGATTGCTTTAGCCCCCAACTCGCTTAACTTCGGAGTTCCTAAGAATCCGAAGCCAGTGAGCTCCCAAAAGGGAGCTTTCCCTCCCTGAGCGATGTGGGATTGCTCACCGTTCTTGTTTCCCCAAGACACGGGTCTTACAATCCACCCCCTTGGGGCCCAGCGTCCTCGCTGGCACACTTCCGGTCGGGGTCAGGCTCTGATACCATTTGTCACGACCCGACTCCCCTAGCATGATATTGTCTGCTTTGGGCCCCCCTCTCTGCCCTCACGGTTTTGTTTCTGGGAGCTCACGAGCAACTTCCCAGCGGGTCACCCATCCTGGGATTGCTTTAGCCCCCAACTCGCTTAACTTCGGAGTTCCTAAGAATCCGAAGCCAGTGAGCTCCCAAAAGGGAGCTTTCCCTCCCTGAGCGATGTGGGATTGCTCACCATTCTTGTTTCCCCAAGACACGAGTCTTACAAAAAGGCAAAAAAGTGTGGTACCTATATCTCATGTATGTAAAAACACAAACACAAGTTAATTAATAACTTTTTTTTTTTGGTTAAAGGAATATTTTACCTATAATTTAGATATATATATATATAATATGAAGAAAAATATATCAAAAAAATGTATTACCTATATCTCAGGTATACTAGCAATCATTTGTGCCTTGGGATGAACCCCAACTCTGAATCTCAATTATTTTCTCATCTATTTTAACGAGTGTTTGGCTTCCTTTGAGCACTAAACTCACTCCATTATTTCTTTCTTATGTCAATGTACAATATTTAAAAAATAAAAAAAAGTCTTCCTAATTTGGTGCTTTACTTACCATAAATTTAGTAATTATTATAAAACCACCATAAAAATTTGCTGCAGTTAATAACTTCATTATTTCTTACGTTTTATGTGCTCAAGGGTAAATTGGATAAGGAAAGAAATATAATATTGGCTAATTATCTCATTAAGGTAAGTAATCTAAGATAATGGGCAATATTGGAACCAAAAGTGATTTTAAAAATATAAAAATCAAAAGATTACATCATACAATATTTAAAAATGAATGTAATCCTATGTGGCACAAAAGTCAAAGGACTTGTATCAAAGTCACAAAATCCGAGGATTAAACCCAACTTCTGGATGAGAGTTTGGATCTATATCAACTTTTCTATTTATTTTTCCAGTCGCAGTGTTGAAATTGAAACCCCTTCTCTGGGTTCTTTGATCTCTAGTGTCATTAAAATGCTAGAGAATTTCTGGTTCATTTCAGTAATATATCTCTAGCTCTGAAATCATTCTTGCTTGAATAGGGTAACAACTTTTTAAAACCATTTTATTTGATGGCTTTCTTAGGGCATGTGCTGTTGAGCAAACAACATCTAGACATTTCTATTGGCAGTGTCCTCGATCTTGTTGTTGCTGCTTAATCGTTGTAGCTTCAGCTTTGGTGTTGAGAGCGATATCAACTGCTTGAGAAGTATAAAAGCATCACTTGAGGACACTTTGGGGTACTTAAACTCTTCATGGGATTTCAACAACAACACTGAAGGCTTCATCTGCTACGTTCTTGGGATCGAGTGTTGGCACCCTTATGAGAGCAAGGTTCTGAACATCAAGCTTTCGGAGTTGGGATTAAAAGGTCAGTTCCCACGGGGCGTAGAAAATTGTACAAGCTTAACAGGCTTAGATCCTTCAAGCAACCAGCTCAGTGGACCTCTTCCTCATGATATCGATAAAATTCTTTCGTTCATTACGTCTCTTGATCTCTCTTTCAACAGCTTCTCAGGCTTGATCCCGCCGAAGCTTTCCAATTGCAGCTATATGAATGTGCTCAAGCTTGATAACAACCAGCTCTCAGGTAACATTCCGGCAGAATTCAACCAGCTAACTAGGCTTAAAACTTTCAGTGTGGCCAACAATCCTGGACTCTGTGGATACCCTCTGAAGCCTTGTCCACCAATATCTCAAAAGAAGTCCGTTAGTGTGGCTAGGGTTTTCAAGTCCAATGGTATAATTATGTTGGCAGCAGCAGGTTTTGGTATTGGTTTCGTTTTCTCTTTTTCTTTTTTTGTTCTAAGATGAACTCCAACAACTCCGTCTCCGTGTGTGCCTTCTTTCGTCATGTAACGTAAAACACCCGTAGCAGTTTATAGATGAAGTTTATATTTATAGGTTCTTACCAAATTGAATATATACATACAAAAGTTGGATGAATTAGAATTTTTTTTTCAGGGATCTTCACTTTTATGCTCAATTTTAGAATCCAAAATATTTTAAAAAAACCCTACATTATCCAAATTCTATTAAACTATTCCTTAAAATCACTTGAATATTATGCCACTGACTTTTACTGTAGGCCCAAATCCAACTTTTTGGAAAAGAACCCAAAACAATCCAATATAAATAAACAAACACAAAATCCGCAAAAATACAAAAAAGAGCCGCACACAACCCTTCCACGCATTACCACTTGAAACTTCCTCCCATTACCACTTGAAACTTCCACGCAACAACAATGTAATAGCAGTGTAGGCAATGTATAAACATGCACTCATTGACAATAAGTCTTATATAAACCCCATAAAAAAAGGAAAAAAAAAAACCGGACATACCCAAAAGTAACACTTAACCTTACATAATCAAGTTTTTTTTACCATCTCTTTGTCAATAGAAAACGGGCCCCTTAATTTCTTATGATGGCACCCCTTATGCTTGCTTTATATTTGCTTTTTTTTTTTCTTCTTTCTCAAAACAGGCTTATGGAGAAAAACTTTTTTGTACCTACTTGTGATGTACACTGGTTGAGTATGTCTTTTAATCATGTGAGGAGCAAGAGAGACAAGCTCTCATCGTGTGTATGTATATCACGAGAAAACAAGATTAATAATTTGCATGCTCATCGTGTATATATATATCACGAGACATCAAGATCATTTATAATTGTCGATTTTTCAGTAGTTTGAGTTGTATTTTATCCTCTCTTTTTTTCCATGTTTGAGCAAGTAAAATTCTAAGATGAGACTTTTTTTTTTTTTTTGGTCAGAAATTCTAAGATGAGACTGAGTCATCTCATGAAGGTCGGCAAAGAAGAAAAGAAAAGGAAATAGAGGGCAGACGAACACTGTGGGTAGTCAATAGTCAACAGTCCAAGTCGTCCCTAAGCTATTTCGACGAAAGGAGTGGCCTTCAAAATAGCCAGATGAGCCCTTCTCCTTCCCTCACTTTCATAAACCCTTCAAACAGAGCCAGGATATACCATTGGACGTATAAACCACTCTTGATTTTTAATGCATGTGCTGACCGCGTGGGAGCCTTTTCATTAATTTGTGCCGTTGATTGTTCAAACCCTTATCAGGGTTCTTTCATGTCCAGTGGTTATAAAAAGCCAGGGAATTTCAGGTCTTCACTACTATCTTTAGCTCTGATCTTTGGCTTCATGAACTAAATAGCACTTTTTTTTCTTTTCTTTTAGCCCATTATCCCATTTTGATGGCTTTCTTGATGCATATGTTGTTGAGAAAACAAGATGCTGGCATTTTTATTGGCAGTGTCCTCTGGTTGCTGCTTAGTTGTAGTTTCAGCGTTGGTGTTGAAAGTGATATCAACTGCTTGAAAAGTATAAAAGCATCACTTGAGGACACTTTGGGGTACTTAAACTCTTCATGGGATTTCAGCAACAACACTGAAGGCTTCATCTGCAACTTTCTTGGGGTCGAGTGTTGGCACCCTCACGAGAGCAAGGTTCTGAACCTCAAGCTTTCGGATTTGGGACTGAAGGGCTCGTTTCCTCAAGGCGTAGCAAATTGCACAAGCCTAACAGGGTTAGATCTTTCAAGCAACCAGCTCAATGGACCTCTTCCTACTGATATCGATAAAATCATTACGTTCATTACGTCCCTTGATCTCTCATATAACAGCTTCACAGGGCAAATCCCAATGAAGCTTTCCAATTGCAGCTATCTGAATGTGCTTAAGCTTGACAACAACAAGTTCTCGGGTATCATTCCTCCAGAAATTAGCCAGCTTGCTAGGATTAAAACATTTAGTGTGGCCAACAATCAGCTGTCTGGCCCAGTCCCAAACTTTAATAATACATCAATTGGACCTGAAAGCTATGCAAACAACACCGGACTCTGTGGAGGCCCTTTGAAGCATTGCCCGCCGGTTTAAGGTTTTGAACTCAAAAAAATGAAGTTATAGCAGCAGCAGCAGCAGCTGGTTTTGGTTTTCCTTTTTCTTTTTCTTTTTTCCTTCCGAGAGCTCCTAGTGTGCGTTATTTGGTGGTGTTCGCAAGAAGAAGTAAAAGTTGAACTCAGCCTAGCCAGTAACAGTTGTGCTCTTGTTTTCTGCTTTTCTGAACTCATTTTACCTGTCTTAAATTATATTTAGTCCTTCTTTCAAGTTGACTGATTCACTAATTGTACGTTTGAAAATCCTCGTGTATAAATTGCGCTTGCATTTTTTTTGTTTTTCTTAAAAGTTAATGCTCATTTAAGTCATTTGTATCTCGAAAAGTCTAGAGAAATGTAGAGAACTCGAGAGATGTACACCAACTTTGACAAAGTCGGCAAGCTCAAGCTTTCAAGACATAATTGTTATAGGCATTCTAGGAAAATTCTAAAAAAATCTTGTAAACCAGTGGCTAGGAGAAGAAGCTCAAGCTTTTAAGACATATCTGCAATTTTGATTTTTTTTTTCTCCAGTCGCCGTCATCGATTGAAATTGAAATAACCCCTTCTCTGGGTTCTTTGATCTCTATTGTCATTAAAATGCTAGAGAATTTATGGGTTCATTTCAGTAATATATCTCTAGCTCTGAAATCATTTTTGCTTGAATAGGGTAACAACTTTTTAAAGCCATTTTGATGGCTTTCTTAGGGCAGGTGCTGTTGAGCAAACAACATCTAGACATTTCTAATGGTAGTGTCCTCTTGTTGTTGCTGCTTAGTTGTAGCTTCAGCTTTGGTGTTGAGAGCGATATCAACTGCTTGAAAAGTATAAAAGCATCACTCGAGGACACTGAAGGCTTCATCTGGGATTTCAGGTTACTTCAACTCTTCCTGGGATTTCAGAAACAACACTGAAGGCTTCATCTGCAACTTCGTTGAAACTTCCACGCAACAACAATGTAATAGCAGTGTAGGCAGTGTATAAAAATACACTCATTGACAATAAGTCTTATATAAACCCCATAAAAAAAGAAAAAAAAAAAATCAGACATACCCAAAAGTAACACTTAACCTTACATAATCAAGTTTTTTTTTTACCATCTCTTTGTCAATAGAAAACGGGCCCCTTAATTTCTTATGATGGCACCCCTTATGCTTGCTTTATATTTGCTTTTTCTATTTTTTCTTTCTCAAAACAGGCTTATGGAGAAAAACTTTTTTTGTACCTATTTGTGATTGACACTGGTTGAGTATGTCTTTTAATCATGTGAGGAGAAAGAGAGACAAGCTCTCATCGTGTGTATATATATCACGAGAAAACAAGATTAATAATTTACATACTCATCGTGTGTATATATATATATATATATATATATTTCACGAGACATCAAGATCATTATTTGGGTTTCTTTTTCTTCATCATTTATAATTGTTGACTTTTTAGTAGTTTGAGTTGTATTTTATCCTCTCTTTTTTTCCATGTTTGAGCAAGTAAAATTCTAAGATGAGACTGAGTCATCTCATGAAGGTCGGCAAAGAAGAAAAGAAAAGGAAATAGAGGGCAGACGAACATTGTGGGTACTCAATAGTCAACAGTCCAAGTCGTCCCTCAATAGTCAACAGTCCAAGTCGTCCCTAAGCTGTCGGCGAAAGGAGTGGCCTCCAAAATAGCCAGATGAGCCCGTCTCCTTCCCTCACTTTCATAAACCCTTCAAAGAGGGCCAGGATATACCATTGGACGTATAAACAACTCTTGATTTTTAATGCACGCGCTGACCGCGTGGGAGCCTTTTCATTAATTTGTGCCGTTGATTGTTCAAACCCTTAGAGCAGCTCCAGCACTGCTATTAAACTGGGTAAAAGGCCCCCGGCAAGCCCAATACAGCTCCAGCGCACCACTTGCAGCCCGGGCAACCTCTGGGTCCCACCAGCCCGGGCAAGCCCAAGGGCAGATTTTGCCTAGGCTTCAGCCCGAGAGCGCTGACGTCAAATTGCAAAAAAAAAAAATTCAAAAAAATTTTAAAAAATTTAATTTTAAAAAAAAAATACCAAAAATTTATGGATGTTTTCCCTATAAATACATAACAATTTTATTCACTTTCCCTATAAATACATAACAATTTTATATTTTGTTGCATATATATATTTTTTTCTTGCCCTTGACTTGCCTTAGACTTTGCCCTCATGGGTGGAACCACAAATGCAAAGGCAGACATTATTCACGTGAATAGTTGCAGTCCTTGCTTGCCCTTACCTTAGACTTAGCCCTTGTGGGTGGAGATGCTCTTATCAGGGTTCTTTCATGTCCAGTGGTTATAAAAGAGTAATGTTACACTTACCACATTTTTACCCCACATTTCTATACCACATGATGTGGCATATCCATATTATATGTCATATCAATTAAATCAATGAAGTGTATTTTAATTAAAACAATTAGAAAAACAAATATTAGAATAAATTATAAAAGAAAAGAAAATATTAAATAATTTCAATTGACGTGGCTGTCCACTTTAACTGCCACATAAGATGATATAAGGATGTTGTATACAAATGTGGTAAGAGTAGCTGTTTGGGCCAAAAATTGACACACCCAGCCCAGCGAAAATTAGGCCCAGAATAAAGCTGCAAAAAAATTAAAGAAAGATGGAAGCCCAAAAAACCAGAAGAGACCAGCCCAAGGCTCATCAGAGCAAATAAGGCTAATTTAGGCCTCACAGGCCCAATATAATAGGAAGAGGGAGCCCAGAAATAGGAACAATCCCACGTGACATCTCTGGGATAAAGAAAAGTCAGCAATGACAACTGTCATAGAAGAAGTGATTGAAGAGTTCATGACATCAAGTTGATTCTGAAAAAACTGAAGATCAAATCCCTCTTACATATATATATGTATATTCAGAGATTTTTCTTCTGTCTTTTCAGAGAAGGTAATTCTCCCAAGGAGATA